TCCCCATATTGGGAGAAATCGGGAGTACAGAGGCGTTGTGTGCGTTGTGTGAACATGATGTTACTGTAGTTCTAGACTAAATGACTGTGAATGTGCATTAATTCATCCCACTCACAAAAAACTGATTTAGTATTCATCAAAATGAATTAAAACAGTGAAATGCAAACTCAGAATATGACGCAAACCTGCAATAATTAAATATGTTAAATAACACATGTATCTAATCCCATTTTATTAACCAATATCTTTGCTGCTGACCTTTGATGATCCAGTTCAACCATACTAATAAGCAAAAATGACTTTAGAGAAACTAACAATTGTGCTTTGTTTTTTTATTGCTGAAGAGTGTTTCTTCTCCTGCGTTCTACTGTACAGACGTGAATTTACTTTTGCTTCAGCCTGAGGTTTATTCATTACACTTTTTGGTGTGAAAGGGCTTTTATATTTGCTATAAATAGAACTTCTTATATTAAAAACAATCAAGCCCTGCTTATATTTAAAAAGTAACGCGAAAGTAACGCAAAAGTAATATAACGCATTACTTTCCATAAAAAGTAACTAAGTAACGTAATTAGTTACTTTTTTTAGGGAGTAATGCAATATTGTAATGCATTACTTTTAAAAGTAACTTTCCCCAACACTGCTCATATATAGTGTATATATTTAGAGAGATAGAGAGTGAAGCTGGCAACTTTTTTTTAACAGCATGAAGGAGTTAAATTCTTCCTGGATGATACATTGCACATAATGTCATAAAATGGCACAGTTTATATAACCCTGAATTGCTGCATGTACCCTGAGGAGCCTGAGCTGCCACCCACTCAAAAGGTTAAACAAGATGAATAATAGATTTAAACTGTTCACAGTATCATTCCACAACAAAAAACATGTGTGCCATTAAATGCTCATCTCAAGATTGTGACTAAATGTACTGAAAAATAGCTACTAGATGGCCATCATTTTTGTCTAAAATACCATAAATGTCATTTTCAGTTTTCAGCCAAAAAGAGAAAACAATGTGTTATTTTATCTTTGACATGAACAAAAAGCTGTATGCATTGTGAAATAATCCAGGTTCCATTAAATCTAATTTAAATGTAAATCATGATGGATGATACATTGAAACTTTTTTTTTATATATTTATATAATATTTAAAAGCTGTTGAAGGCTAGATGTTATGCCACCTGAAGGAAGAACAAGTCTAATACTAACAGTTATCTGTGCAGCTGAAATATTTCTAACAATCATAAAGCAATTTCAAACACTATTTCAAATTGCCATATGCACCATTGTAACTAAAGCAATGTATTCACTGTTGCTTTTGGTCATAAAAAGATTGCAATGTGTGTAGGCTAGAATGCACAAAATTAATCCATTAAGTTATAACCTATAAATGAAGTAGCCTTGTGTGTGTTTAGCGTAAATAGAGGAATGGGATGCCATTATAAAAATAAGTGGATCATCTTGAATGAATCAAATTTAATTTCAGTCTACAAGCAGCCTGGCCTGCAATTTATTGTGGCTTTTCTTTCCTTGGTATTTCAACATAATGCCTATGTTTTTTTTTCTTTAACGCCTTTCATTAACTTCCAAAAAAAAACCACCTCTGGAAATCTCTACTAAACATGAAATAGCCTACTGTCTATTTTTCATCAGTACAATAATATATGTAGAACAGGAAGGATTGTAAGTTTTAATATTTCGTAAATAATTTCAACTTGGTAAATTGGTCACTAAATTGTGGTATTTTTTTCATGAAATGGCATTTAATGTAGAATCCACCCTGCAGTCTCACTGTACACATTCATTACCAACAGAAGTGTTGGCAATGCTGCACATCAGGTTTTTGATCTTTTGCGGGCCACAGCTGTTGTGCTCCATTACACCTCTGGAAATCTTTACTAAACATGAAATAGCCTACTGTCTATTTTTCATCAGTACAAGAATATATGTAGAACAGGAAGGATTGTAAGTTTTAATATTTCGTAAATAATTTCAACTTGGTAAATTGGTCACTAAATTGTGGTATTTTTTTCATGAAATGGCATTTAATGTAGAATCCACCCTGCAGTCGCACTGTACACATTCATTACCAACAGAAGTGTTGGCAATGCTGCGCATCAGGTTTTTGATCTTTTGCGGGCCACAGCTGTTGTGCTCCATTTTGGAGAGGAAAAAACAACAACAAAAAGAAAGAAAACAAAGGACTCTAGTGAGAGCGTACTTCTTATGGATATGAGATGGGAAGATGTTTTGTAATCACATCAAGTGAAGAATCTTTGTTGTGTGTCTAGATCTTGGCAGAGAACACAGGCTTCTCCTGTTATTAATGATCCCAGTAGAATTCCTCTACTACCTCTCTCTCTCTCTTCAGCTTCCTCGCTTTCCTCCTCACAGTACGCTGATCCATCACCATCTCCTTTTCTCACTACTCTACCTTTCTCAGAGCATTATCTTGAAAACTTTCCACTCCGCTGTCTGTCACAAAGACTCTGATCTTTACATGTCAACAGAAAGGGACTGTCCTAAAATGGCAGTGGCGCAGAAACCTCCAGGGAGCGTCTTAAAATACCGCCACTCTGCCGAGTGCTGGAGAGGCACCTGCTGCTCCGAGACCCCTACTGAGGTGGCAGATGCTTCCGCCTCAAAGAGGATGCTTGAATCCTAGTTGGAGTTGAGAGGATACGTGCAAGTCTTCCTTGTTTTTCACAGTTTTCCCTCCTCTCATTTAACTTAAGTCTCACATTCGCATTTGTCGGAAAGAGGCCTTGTCTTCGCGATAAACTCGCGTCACCGGTCACATACTCTTTTCTTTAAGTCAACAAGTAGTCCTTTGAAAAGCCCACTCTTTTCTTTAGCCTAGCTAATGTGGCAGTCATTATATATCAGATTATGTCAGGAAAGGACTTTTATTCTTTTGTTTGCAATTTCTCTTTCAAC